GAATTAGTATTTCACAACAATTTGTAAAAATGAAAAAATACACACACAACTAAAAAAAATCAATCATTAAAAAAATTTCCATATACACAAGTAAAAATGAAAAAATAAATATCCTTTAAAACAATACCTTGTAATTCTCATCACTATATTTGATTAATCATGTTCTTACAATTAAAACAAATCAATCATTAGACCTAATATCATATAAGCGAATAAAAATAGACTTTCTACCAAAATTTTCTAATTTTACCCTCTTTTATATTCATTTCTATGCAAGATTGTATAAACTTCTACAAAACTCCTAACAATTTTAATCTATATTAAATTAAAAATCAACAAAACTCAAATCATATATATAATTTTTATTTCTCAACAGGAAGGAATGGATCCCCCCCTTCCCAAGACCCCATCACTATTTGTAACTCGACTTTTTCGCGCCCCTTTTCAGAAGATTCGAAAGAAGCCCTACAGTTCGAACTCCCGCAGTTCTGAATCTAATCTCACAAATGCAATGTGAAATTGATAAACACCAAAGAGTCCAAATCCAATAAAATCTTTTGAAAAATCGATTTTGAATCAAATGCCAAAGATAGACTGTTTTGTCAGATACAGAGTCCTCACCTAAATATTTTTTGAGGAAATTTAGGAAACCCATAACTCGTGCCAAAGGCTACGTGTCCGCCATCACTAAGATTGTCTTGGCTCAAGAACTTAGGTACGAGAAGGGAATGTCATGAATTGAGCACCCCCACTCGCCCGATCAAAGATCGGCCTCTACTAATCATGATATGATTTTTATCAACATTATATGCTCTTGTTATGATTATTAGGCTACTATTTACTATGTGATGCGCACAAGCAAGTATAGACTAATTTGCCCGAATTGAAACATTCCAATTTCATGTTTGTTTTCTGAAAAGGGTTTGATTTTGCCACTTAACAAAGTGGGCTTAAAGTTTGTGAATTTGCCACTTGGCAAAGTGGGCTTAAAACGTACATTTATTGAATCATTCCAATTCAAGCAACAAGCCTTTATCCACAGGCATGCAAACAATTTAACAAGTAAGCATTTAGCCTCATGTTAAGCATGCGAATCATGGCAATCACTCACACTCACACAAGTATGCTAAAACTCTAAAAACTCACCTAGTACTCCAAGTTAGGATAAAACAAAAGAGTTAGAAAAAAATGCATGATTCCTAACTATATAAGATAACTAATGCAACTAAAATAGGCTCGGCCACTTAACATGGCATATAAATCGATTTGATAACATGCGGTCTAAGCACGTATTCAAAGAAGTATTGAAATGACAATGCAGCTAGAATGATGAACCGAGCCTCAGTGTATGCAATACAAATGAATAGATGCAAACATGTGATATGCTAATTGAAACGTGATGTCCATAATCTAACCATCAAAAGCGGATAAATAAAAGAGAGAAAGATATGGAGTTGGAAGATATACACATTATTACATTTGCGCTCTCACGAAGGAAAATGAATTAAGTTAACTAGCTAACTAAGTTAAGCTAATCATTACAAACCAAATAAAATAAATTAACTAACTATTCTAAGCTAATTAAATAAGTACAACAATTAAATAATTTAACTAGGTTAAGCTAATTAAATATTTACAACACAAACTAATTTAATTAATCAAAACTAATTCAATAAGTACAAAACAAACTAATTAGCTACAACTAATTAATTACAACAAATAAATAGCTAAATGCTAATTGAACTAATTAACTATTCTCGGGAAGCGAGGGAGGACCATGTATGCTTGATTTCCACCCAAAGAACATCCACTGTTTGCCCTCAGAAGCCTCTGTTGCACAACCCTTGCACTGGTTTTCCACCTCCAGGTCAAAGCGGCTCTGCTTCACAAACATTCTGCTCAAAATTCATTGGTGGCCGACAGGGGGCCGGTCGGCCACTGATGATGGTCGGTTAGCCACTGATGGTGGCCGGTCGGCTACTGATGAGGCCTGTCGGCCACTGTTGATTTGGACTTCCTTTCTGCAACAAAAAGCAAACAAAGTAGGACAGTGTATTTCTCAAGGATTATTTGTACTGTATATCCCTCCTTATCATCAAAAACATCTCAATGGAGTGATACTCTTAGCTCTTAAACCATCAATTAAGCAATTTCATTGCATGATAGCCAAAGAATCAAGATGTACAAGTTTAATAAATACATAAACAAGACTCAAAACTTTCACCCTATCATGCATGATCAAGGGCAATGGTGACCTTGAAAACTTGGCACATTTCATCACTGAGTATGAAATGTCCCAAATTTCCTTGTGTTCAATTAACGTCCGATTGAACACACCAAAACACAATCAAATTCTTATTTTTCACCGTTTAGTTGTAACTTTTTAGTTACTCATTTTAGATTACCAACCGTTCCTTAACCAATTAAGTCCATTGGTAAATCAAGTCCTCTAAAGAGAAAGAAGTGTCAAACAATGGGAGGTTTAAGGCAAGAGAAAGGTGGCATGCCGTTGGTAATGAACCTCCAAAAGATGATTAAATCATTAAGCATGAGCCTCAATCTCAAGCTTACACAATCCCAAGGTTGAAACAACCCTCAAAGCAAATGAAAAAGTCAAGAAATAAGGGAGGTTGCAGAGATTAAAGTGTTGAATTAAGTAAGAAAAGTACTAAAAAAACAATGCAATCAACTCAAACAAGTGGTGTCTAAAAGTTTAGAACACCAAGCTTGTGAGGACACTTATACTATAAGTATGCAAAACAAGACTCGAATGTCTCAACCAACCCAAAACAAAGTTAAAACAATCTTAAATAGAGCCTAAAACAGGCTGGAGTTAAGCTACAAAGAACTAGAAAATTAAGCTAACATATGGAGCTAACTAGGCTAACAAACAAAACATAAGAATGGGAGGCTAACCCGTCCAATTTTGGACTTCAAAACATGACTTTCACCACTGAAAATACTCTGAAATTCAGTGTTCAAAAGTCCAAAAAAAGATAGTTTGAAAGTGGGAAACAAAGGTGAAAAGCCCTTTTAAACAAGGAATAAAGAAGGGTGAACAACCCCCTAACCTTAAATGGCCTAAAACCACCAATTTCAGCCCACAAAAACAGAGTTTTTATAGCCCAAAAACAACCCAAAAACAGTGGAAAAATATAGAAAAACAAGCATTCAAAGTAAGGTAAAAAGGGAAATGTTATACCTCTTGAAGCAAAGATCAACTTTAAGCAACAATTCAAGCTAAAATCGCCTTCAAGAGCTCTAAGAAGGCCTCGAGGAACCTCAGCTCAAAGGTGATCAATTTTGGTTAAGGAGGTATATGCAAAAATGTAGTATATGTAGGCAAGTATGCACAAATTTGCATGAGAGAGAGAAAAATGTAGACAGAGAGAGAAAAAGAGAGAGATTTTTGTTCCAAAAATTCTAACCCCCAAAAATGAGAGAGGAGCCCCCATATATATAGAAAACATGAATTCCATACAAGGAGATCCAGCCCTACATGTGGGTGTAGATGCATGCATCTGTACAAACTGTTGGCACAATTGGCATAAAATATTTGCAAAACACGTTGGTGGCTGACTGGCTACACCAATGGCCAACAACCAGAAGACATGGCCGACAGCCCATGGTGATGGCCGACAAGTCACCAAAAAGTTCAGGCTTGAAACACCAAGGTTTTGGTCCAAAAACAAGGTGACAGGAGTGCGAGGCTCAAAGCTGTGGCATTCTGTCGAGGATTTCGAGCGCTTGGCGAGCACATGCAATCATAATCATCATCAAGTACACAATTGACGATATCCAAGTCTTGAGAACGGTCAAAAATAGAATGTCTACACTATTCTCTATACTTCATTTAATGGGCCCCATCTTGGGGCCTACAAGATGATCTGAATCGTAAACCTTGCAATGATATATGTATAAAAAATTAATTTCATCAAATATCACTAGACACAAACAAATTATATTTTATTTTTTAAAATGAACAATAATTTGAGTTTAAACTTAAATTATCCCAGTTATTAAAAAAAATATATATTTTGGTTTACATTATGTTTTCAAAAAAGATAAAATAACAAAACAAACTCAGAAATTGCTTCTCTCTCTCTCTCTAAACTTTTCTTCCCCTAAAGTTTCGTTTGTGTGCAACAGCCGAGATAGGAGAGGGTTCTAGCAACCTCTAGCCTCCTCTCTCTTTTTACCCCCCTTTCTCTTTCGTTTCCTTGCTTTTTTGTTCAAATAACTTGGAAACTACCCTTCTCCCTCTTTTTGTGAGGTGTTCTCTCCCTTCTGCCTTAACTCTGGTTGTGACCTTCACCAAATTTGCTTTCACTCTCCTCCATCGCTACCACGTCACCGCCTTTTGCTCGACCACTATCAACTTGATCTGCCGCCTTCCAACTCTTCTTTGACAAATCTACCACCTTCCTTCAACCAGATCTACTGCCTTTCATCACCGAATCATCCACCACCACTACTTGGGCATTTTGGGTTTGAGAATTTGTGTTTTTTGTCTTTTTTTGATGTGATTGTAACTTTCCCACACAGATAAATGTAGCCTATGTATTTATCGCAAGCTTAAGATATTATCGAACTCTTATGATTGACTTCTATTTCGCAATATAAATTTTGTCTTGATATATGTACAATTTCTCCTTAGTGCTTCATTCGAAGATTTTTCCTTTATTTTTTGAACTAGGATTTTTCCTTAATTTAGTGTAAGCTTCTTGCTAATCTCCTTATAAATGTCGTTTGGCTAATCTTACTTTAATGAAAATTACTAGTGATAAATAAATTTAAAATAAATAAATAAATAAAAGAAGAAGAAGAAAGACTTAGAAATTGCTTCTAACATGGCCAGCTGAGGGGGACCACATATTACAACATGAAAAATAGAGAAATTATCCAATCCTTTGATCCATCGGGACATTAATGGCTAATTTATAACCCAAAAAACAAGACTAAAGATAACAGACAAATCATAAACTAGAGAAAGAAAGAACTGCTTGAAGCACAGGATGATAAAAATTGTACTTCCTAAATTCTTTACAAAATTGAAATGTCTGCAGCTCCATTTCAAACACAAAAATCACACAGATCAATTGAGTCATATCCAAATGCAGAAAAATAAGAATGTATAGCAAGATCCCATCCCTAAATCATGATTGGGGAATAGCAAAAGCATCAACGCTACTCAAGAAGTAGAATTCACTATTCCTTTTATATACTTCGAAAGGTGTACCCTTTGTCAAACAAAAACTTAGCAACGATATGGGGAAATTACATGCATTCTTACAAATTACAAGTTTCTTTTTTATTTTTTTTGATGAATGTAGCAATTGTAAATCAACAGCAATGACAAATGAGACAGTATTCTTGCACTTCTCCATTTCTTTTGTTTATTGGTGTTTTACTGTAAGAGCAGAGTATACAACATCACCTTCTCAGTATAATTGTCAGTTTAACGATTGTTAAGCAAGCAGCTGAGGATTGGTGTTCTTTTGCGTTTTGAACCCCAGCAAACATCAATCTTGACAATCTTTCTTTTGGTCCCAAGATAATCTTGACAGTTTGGAGCGCCACAATGGCACTTCACCTCAGGTCCGAACTGCACAAATCTACAAAACCAAAGAGCATAGAACTCTTAGTCTTGCAACATATTTTACCTATTCATGTCCGGAATCCCATTTAATGGCATCCCAGGGCGGATTTATAATCATCAGGCCCTAAAATTTTTTACTTATCAAATAATTAACCTACAATTAAACAAGAATTTTTTTACAATTTCAATTAACCTACAATTTTTTTTTATAATCATAACAAAATTACATATGAAGCCCAGAACTTCCATATGAAAATCACCGTCCCCACAGAGAGAGAGAGAGAGAGAGACCACATGTACAGGACCCTAACAAGAAAATAAGTGTGATACATGAAACGATGCAACATAGTGAGACCACTATAAGTGTCTAACAATTGTTCATTCCAGAATAATTTCATCATAATCTGTTTACTGACGATGTTAATCATTTGACTACCTGATTTAAAATATAGTGAATGCTAGTGATGAAAAATAAAGCACTACAAACAAGAAACAATAATTGAAACTAGAAAATAAATTAAAACATACCGGTAATCATATGTTAATGGTTCCCCAATCTTAATAGATTGAGCAGCGAAGACGCCAACACGTGTCTCCCCTTCCACTTGCCTGCAGAAACACAAAAAAAGGTCAGAATCTGTTTTGTGTGAAGCAGTCAAATTCTGATATCAGAGGAAGATTCTTCAACCACATTCTACTATACTCTTTAAATACTATTAGACATGCCAATGCTCAGCAAATAGATGCAAGAAACTCACACAGATAGTGTCAAAGAATCACATCCACTAAAATAACAAAAAAAAAAATGATGGGACCATATCAATCTGGCACACAAAATCTATTACCAAAATAAACAAAAGGTGAAACTGTAAGATCATACAGATCACCAAAAAAAAATGGAATGAAAAAACTGAGGCCACTGAAAAGAACCTCCAAATTCTACTATCTTAAACTATGAAGCACGTATACTTCAAAAATAGAGACGTATCTATATCGGATTGTTAGAATTTACCCTCACCTACTCCACTAAACCTAACCCACTACACCACTACCACCTCACCTACTCCACTAATATTACTTTTAATACTTTGTTTAGTTCTTTGATAAGATGAATATAGTGAGAGTTAAAGTAGTAGAATTTGTCAAATTGACGTGTCCTTATTGTCTTTCTCACTTCTCTCTCGCTCTCTCACGTTTCTTCTCTCTGCTCTCGTTCTTTTTTGGGTGTCGGCATGTAAGGATAATGTTTAATTTACATTTGCTTTTGCTTTTAGTTTTGAATGTTTTATGAGTGACTCTTAGCTTAATTGGAATCTCTCTCTTTATTAATTTACTTTAGGTTTCATTTTCATGCATATTACATTATTAAAATTATAAAAAATAATTTCTTTTTACAATCGTATAGGAACCGTACCCGTATTCTACTGTTTCAAATTTTGGCGTATCGCCATATCCCCGTATCCGTGCTTCCTAGATCGTAAAAAACTATATCAAAAAGCATTTTGGGGGGAAAATATGGACCAAAAATTTGCTCAATAAGGTACAGGTTCCATAAATAGGATTAAAAATCATGATTTTCTACTATATAATTATCAGCTTAAATGAGCAAGTTTTATAGTGGTGTTGAACTTTCAAGTAGCCCATCATCTGATTTATCTATAGCATTAGGAAACATAGGCTCCCTAAGGGACATGTGTTCCATAACTCACTCCATGAATGATCCTACTTAGTCTAAAAAATATGATTGAGCAAACAAAAGCACTTTCTTAAAGGACCCTTCCTCGTATATAATAAGAACACTGCCATAAGAGAGAATTACAATTCCATTTTTCTAACACTTCTACACTAAAGAAGTTCTATGATCCCCAAGAAACAGTCAAATGAACAACACCAACCTTCTGATTTAGCAAATGGTGGAAGACAAATATAATCTTATTGAAAACCAGAAGTTAAGATCTATTATATACATTCAACATTCAGCTCCTAGAAGGAAACTGCAGCTTTTTACAGCTAACCTAAAAAATTTGTAGAACTTAGAAGTGGTTCATACTAACCATTTTTCCAGTTTACAGTTGGGATCACAACTATGGTTTAGAAAGCGAGAAGAATTTCCCTTGAAAGTGGCATCAATTGTGAAGTCTTTTCGTATTTCACACATGTAGAAGTTCTTAACGCCTCTGTACTTCATCTCCCATAGCCTTTGTTCACACATAGCATCATCAATAACTGCAACAACAAATAACTTGTGATCTTAAAGGCATGTAGAAGAAAATTTGAACTTTAGTTCCAAGAAAATTTTAAGTCCCTTAGGGAGTGAAGACCAACATAGCACATCATAATATTTGTGATTCTGCATTTCTGTAATATAAAACTCAATTGTAAGAAGTGTGAACCCATGAATGTATAATGTTGAAAAGGGGTTATCATATCCTCCTGGACCTGCAAACACTATCTTTGAACTTCTTATCAAAATCTAACCCAACTTCACTTGAAGTATCTTATTATTCAGAATCTAACCCACTTTATTCTAAAACTATTCACTAGTTTTAAGAGTTCCATAACCATAATATGCAATGATAAGCTTTACTTAACAGAGAGAGTGAATGAAATTTTATGAAGAAAACTATAGAGAAAAATGTCACCTGTGGCTGTAAGATAAATTGATAGAGAGAGAATAAATTGTATGTATTATGATTGATATAAGTGTTTTACAACACTCTCATTTATAGAGAGTAAATAGGGTACATTGGATGCTAACCCACCGAAAGCATAAAGATACAACATCATTAGTATGACAGCTATATATTACACTATATTACACTAACACTATAATACACTAACAGCCCTCCTCAAACTCAAGGAGGATAGGCACAAACCAACTTGAGTTTGGAAAGAGTAATAAAACAGGAAAATAAACTAATATATAAAATAAAATGGGATAAGAAACACTGTATGGTCGTGTCAGACCATTGGTCAAGACATTGTATGGTCGTGTCGGACCGTTGTAGCAGCTAATCGGAATCAATGTCGAGACAGTTTACGGGGTCATGCCGGACCGATGTAGCAGGACAGTTTACGGGGTCATGCCGGACCGTTGTAGAAGCTAACCGAAATCAATGTCGGGACAGTTTACGGGGTCATGCCGGACCGTTGTAGAGGCTAACCGGAATCAATGTTGGGACGGTTTACGGGGTCATGCCGGACCGTTGTAGAAGAATTTGGTGGTGCACCAAGGGGGCGACGTAGGGAGTGCGCTATAGGGTGGCTTGGGTGGTTCCCATGGTATATAACCATGCTCATCAGCTTGGGTGGTTCGCATGGTATGTAACCATGCTCACCATGATATATGTATAACTCCCCCTCAAACTCAAATAGGTGTGAAGATAGAAACCTATTTGAGGTTGAAACAAAGAGATTGATAAAGTGGAGCAAAATAGCTCAACACAGAGTGAAGATGTGAAAAAAAAAAAAAAAATAGAGAAGGGTTTTTTTTTTTTTTTGGGGGGGAAAGGGGGGGGGGGGAAATTTTCCCTGTTACGGAGGCAACACCGGCAAGGACCACCCAGGACGGAGGCAAGAAGAAAAGACCGGCGGCTGAGTAAAGAAGAAAAATCCCACTGTGGGTGTGGTAGTTTTGTTTTTTTTTTTGTGGGTTTTTTTTTTTTTTTTTGTGGTTGTTTTGGTTTTTGTGTAGAATGAAATAAAATAAAGATATGAAAAATCAGAGGTGGTTTCTGAGGCCTGATGTAGTAGGATAATATATAAACACATATATATAAAATAAAAGAAAGTAAAAATCAGAGGAGGCTGGGTGTGTTGGGAGAATAAAAAAAAAATAAGAGTGGTTTTGTGTTTAAATAAAAGAAGAGTGGGTGGACAATATTAAAATAAAAAGAAAGGAAAAGAGGGGGACAAAAGTTGGCAGATGGTGTATCATGGAATGGTGTATCACAGAATGTTTAAAAAATAAATAAATAAATAAAATAAAAGAAAGAATAAAGTACTTGATAAGCTCTAAATATAAAACAGTTTGAATAATTGATGTGAATTTTGTGATGAACCCACAAAGTCCAACAACATGCTCTAATTCGATTTTTGACTGAAGACAAGCCAATGTATTGTTTAAAACTATGTTATTGTTGGCTAATTAAGTAATTATATCTAAACGAATAATGTTATATGTACTAATTGATATATTAACTAGTGTACCAATTGATGATGTGGCATAATTTAAGAAGTTTTTAAAATTTGTAATGTGATTAATGAGTGGGGTCGATAATAATGACATAACTAGTATTAGTATACTAATTAGCACCAAGGATCCTCTAGAGTGAAATTTTCCTAAAGTTTCCTAGAGTACTACATTGTGTGGTTGAGATTTACTGGCAAGTCACATCAATTTTTCTGATGTGACTTGCCAGTAAATCTCAACCACACAATGTAGTACTCTAGGAAACTTTAGGAAAATTTCACTCTAGAGGATCCTTGGTGCTGTTCATTAGCCACTGTTTAAAAGGATGATGGTATGGTTATGAATCTGTCGGAACAGTGAAGATGCAGTTGACCCTTGAATTCGGTGGAGGACTAGAACTTCTCTGTGATTCAATTTGATCAAGGAAAGACTGGAAGATGCGGATCTTACTGGTACACGCAGCTGTTTGGTGCGTGAATTAGGCATTGGGAGATCAACCCAGTGGGGTAGCGTGACCAGCTGCAAGCTGTTTGGTGTGTCGCTATCACCCACGGTGGGCAGAGGTCCAGTTGCAAAGCTGTCTGCTGGGTGCAAAAGGAGCTATTGTTGGGAATGTTGATGTAAGGTGAAGAGTGAGGCAATTTTGTTCACACATAGCATCATCAATAACTGCAACAACAAATAACTTGTGATCTTAAAGGCATGTAGAAGAAAATTTGAACTTTAGTTCCAAGAAAATTTTAAGTCCCTTAGGGAGTGAAGACCAACATAGCACATCATAATATTTGTGATTCTGCATTTCTGTAATATAAAACTCAATTGTAAGAAGTGTGAACCCATGAATGTATAATGTTGAAAAGGGGTTATCATATCCTCCTGGACCTGCAAACACTATCTTTGAACTTCTTATCAAAATCTAACCCAACTTCACTTGAAGTATCTTATTATTCAGAATCTAACCCACTTTATTCTAAAACTATTCACTAGTTTTAAGAGTTCCATAACCATAATATGCAATGATAAGCTTCACTTAACAGAGAGAGTGAATGAAATTTTATGAAGAAATAAGCTTCACTTAACAGAGAGAGTGAATGAAATTTTATGAAGAAAACTATAGAGAAAAATGTCACCTGTGGCAATCATGAAAAATTGGAATGGTAGACCATAAACCCAACATTCAAATGAATTAATATTAATCACTATACAATCTACACTGTACAAAACCAGCAGGTGACATCCATGGAGGCATGGACTCTTGAAGGAGAATTTTCCATGACCTAGCATAAACCACAAATAAATGGTGAAGCAGATATCCTCTCAAAGAAAGTGGCCTAATGCATGCTTTCATTTCACTCCACTTCTTTCTCTCACTTTCTGCAATCTCATGTCCAAAAATCCTTAAGACTTAATAAACACAGATATGGACATGTGACGCGTACAATGCAACACAACAAACACAAAAAATTCAACCAAAAATATTCACAACACAACATGGAGACGCAAGAAAAAAATATATTTTAAGAATATATAATTATAAAATTCACAAAAACATACTAAATAATATAATAGCATTATTAAAAAGGGGAATTACAAATAAAAAGTAAAAGAATGACAAATTAGCCCAATAAATATTGTCACTTCAAATTATTGTGGCCCAAATACAATGAAGTTTGGGCAGGCATTTTATCATTCTTTTTTTTTAAAAGTTTGGGTTGTAATGCATTCCTCTCCTAAAAGTGTGGGCAGGCCCAGGCCCATATATTTCTGTGTTTTAAATAAAGTCATTGATTAAGAAAAATGTAAAATCCAAAACTATAGGTAAAAAAGAAGAGAAGAATCTGAACCACTTCTTAGCCTGAACTTAGAAACTGCTCATCTCTCATCTTTAGTGCTTGGAAAACTTCTATTTCAGATCGACAATGGTCAACGTCAATCGCTATTGTGCTTCAATCTGCCCCAATCCATGTTTTTCTTCCTCAAGCTTCCCAATCTGTGGTTTGTCTTCCTTGATCTGCTTCACACAGCCGTATCCTCTTGCGAAGTGATGTGCCCAAGCCATATTCCACACCCGTGTAGGTATCTTGTGTCTAACACCGGTATTTAGCTGAAAACGGTGAGTCTATGTAACACAGGGTGGTGGTGGTGATGGTAAAGGAGATCGTGGTTATGTAAACTATAATGGTAAAATAAGAGAGGTCACTGTTAAGTTACCAATTTTTTCAAAAGTCTAAGCTGTTAGGAAATGGACCCAACGATGTATATCTAGCTATCTAACACCTCATTCACGTGTAATCCCGTCTTGCACATAGAGAGACAAACAGAGAACTAAACAGAAGGAGAAGCAAACAACCAAACAGAAAAGAAGAAACCAAGCTAGACATAATACCAAATGTTAATACTTGAACTCAAGACCTCTTTTAACCTGAGTTCTAATACCATATTAAGTTATTAATTTTTCCAAAAGCCTAAGTTGTTAGGAAATAGGCCCAATCATGCATATCAAGCTATCTAACAATCACATCTTGTTCTGTTAACTTGACAATGTTCTGAGTTTCAGTCACACTTAACTTGACAGTGGTCAAAGTTTCAGTCAAGTAATAGGGGATATAAGCATGTTTGTTCACCGGATGAGCTGTGAAGCTTGTGTACCTTGCCATTGCTCGCACAGACAAAACTATCAGGGAAATGCTTGCGACTAGAATAATGTTAAAGATAACATGACATTATCACATTTCTAACCCCCTCCCCCCCCAATAAAAAATAAAAAGCTCAATTTTTAGAAAATTAATAAAAACCAAACACTTCATTAGGTTGTGTTTTGGATATGAGATTTCTGAAAAAAAAAAAAACAAAAAAGAAAATTAAGCTCAAAATATCAGGTAAAGAAAACTACCTTCCCCAATATACTCGATCACAAAATCACCTTTATTAATGGATTCAGCTGCCTCTACTCCCCATCCACAAAATTCAGTCTGCAAACAAATATAACACCATATTCAAAGAACAGTTCACTCAATAATACTACTGAAAAAATTTAAATTAGTGACTAACGTTTTATTAAGAAAATTGATGAGATTATGAAGCAGAACTTACCTTGACAATTTTGATCTTCTTCTCTTTACGAAATGGTCTGTTTGTGCACATTTCTGAGCAACGACAAGCTTTTGAGCAGCTTATACATTGAACCCTATTAATCACACATTTATAGTATATAAAACACTAATCAAACCCAAAACACTTGAAGTCAAATGCATAGTGAAATCAATAGATAAATATATAAACTTGACTGCAAAAGAAGGTTAAAAATAAATGCTTGAAATATGTTAAAATTGATGTATTATTGATTGATTGATGTTATTGATTGATATATTGAATGTTACAATGATTCCTATATATAGAAGACTAGGTGGTAGTAGGTGGTAGATGGAGTAGGTAAAGTGGAGGTGGTAGTGGTGTAGTGGGTTAGGTTTAGTGGAGTGAAGTAGGTAATAGGTTTTAACAGCCCCCGGCAAACTCAAGGGGGATAGGAACTAACCAACTTGAGTTTGGAGAGAGTAACAAAACAAGAAAATACATAAAAATAGCAAACATGTAAATTTTCAAAAAAAATGCAAGACAAAACAAACCAGCATGACATGGGAAAAACATATAATTTTATATATTTACATGTTATATATTTATTATATGTCAAATATTTATTCTTATCAAATTCATCAACCTTGGGTATGCTACTTTGGTAGGAGAAAGAAATAAAAAATAAAAAAAAATTGGGACACTGCATGTCCCCAACATGTCCTAGTGCAACCCGAAAAAATAAAATAAAACACTTCTTCAAACATGTCCAACATGTTTCTAAAGCCTATCTAGCACATGTCGAACACCAATACGTCACCTCCAGAGACATGATTGTGCTTCATAGATCATGAGAGACTGCGTGGCTTATATTTTTTCTTAAAGTTCAAAATAAACATTCATGATGTAGACTAATTACCAAAAAAAAAAAACCATGTATTTGGTGATATGGTTATCATTAAATTAACTCCTGGAATAAAAAATATAGAGGATCATTGGTATACTTGGGTAGTGAATCTTAAAACATGTGAATTATGACGAGCACGTTGGCTATTTTCTGAAACAGAAAATGGGCCCTCATAAATGTGGAGCCCTAAGTGTTGCATGCATTTGGATGACCATTGGAAATATAATACCTGCAAACGCAATCTTCACAGCATTGTGTAGAACTGCAATTCGTGCAACCAATGTCAGCATCAACATCATTTCGCTTTTTCTTAATAAGGTACACGTCTAATTCAGTTAAGGATGTCAATTTCATAGAATACTAAACATCAATCTGGAGCAAAAAATCATTTAGCCTTGCACAAATGTTAAAGAAACTCAATACTTTTAGTTCAAGGCATACAATTTAATCACAAAATGAGGAAAATATTTAACTGGTTCAGCCTAGTTCAATAAAAGTATGAATAGGATACTACGTCTAATGTGCACGTATGGAGGTGGCTCCATTTTATTCTCCATCATGTCTTTCCAAGTAAAATCAATCTTGAACTCCTCCTTAGTGTAGGGTAGAGGCAAGCGACAAAATATTTCCTAAATTTGAGAGGTGAGACAGTTAGCCTTAACATATAATGATTATATATATAGAGCATCTATAAACTAATTTTTGCAATACAACAGCTGAAAAACTATCTTAGTTTTCCCAAAAATATGTCTTCAAAATTGTCACAATTTCCAGTAAGCCAAGTCTGCATTTAAGGAATCAGGGATAAAGCCTGTAACTTTTTTCTTTCGATTTCCTCCATATTGGGAGGACAGGAAGGGAAGTGAAAAACTCCATATATCTCAAATAGTAAAACGGTTGATGACTACTTCCTCCATGCTGCATGTAGTGTATAATTTGAAATAGAGGGTAAATTACAAACACAATCCCTAAGATTTGATTAAAATACGAATCACCCCCTGTGATTTTGGAAATTACATTCCACCCCCTAAGATTTCTAATTTCATAATAAATCGCCCTTTTTATTAATAAATCATCAAGTCAAGTAACAGTTTTTAATAATGTTAGAAATATGTTTCAATTAATAGTTGAAGTAATTTTATTATTGTATAGGAGAGTAATTATAAATTTTATTTTTTTAGTTAATTCTGTTAAATAAAAAATACTAACAAGGAAGTATTTGTAATTTTTCAAACCACAGGGCTATCTGTATTTTAAATAAATCTCAAAGGATGTATTTGTAATTTACCCTAAAATATAAAATAAATAAATGCATAAAAAAAAAAAGAAATTTCCTAAAGCATTTTTTGTTATATACAATGTTAAAAAAAGGTAACAAAATACTAAAACTCTGACCTCTATGACACTCGTTGCGGCCACATGCTGCTCATTGAACAAGATATATTAGTCCTGTCAGCCAGCCTAATCAATAAAAAATATGAACAAAATAATAAAACCCAAACATAAAGCTTAATTTCTAGACGACAAATGCAATGAGCACAGCCAACATCATGAAATAATCAGTCTAACAAGACCAATAAAATCAATGAGTAATTAAAAAATAATTGCAGGGTAGCAACTTAGCAAGGTATTGAAGGTATAGTTACTTCAAATTAATAAAAAAATTCAACATAGCTCAATAGGACCCACATGTTGCCACCTAATATATGTTTAAACAAATGCATACAAAATGATACATAAGAAATCTCGAATCAAACCATTTGTCCTAATTTCAACAAAGGAAGCACAGGCCTCATCAATAGAAGAGCTTTTTTTTTTTCTGGGTCCTAATTCAAACCCCATATTTTTCATTCAAAAAGAGTGATTTAAGCATTCACAAACTATAAGCTATGAGGACTTCCTTACTCAACTAGAATAGAGAGACTGGCAAGCTTAGCTTAGAGAAAAGGTTACTTCTAATTCCTTTCAAGTAGCGCGAGTGGAAAGGTGAGTGGAAAGGTGAGAGCAAATGGAAGAGATGAGGGCCTATGTCAAATGGGGAAAAAATCAAAATGAATTAAAAGAAGACACCATCTCTATGGAATTCAATCTAATAACAAGGCCAAGATAATTCCATGACCATGACTAGAAAATGCAAAAACTCCTCATTTTTTTATATAAATAAAAAATCACTAAATAGACTTGACCTTTATACCCCAATGTGTATGCAATCAAATTAAACACATTCACCAAATGTATGTTCGAACAAATCTACAAAAAAATTAGAATATTTCACAAATCAGGATAGAGAAACCACCCTGATGAAGGAAAGAAGAAATTGACCTTCTTCTCCAGCCGCCAATCAGTAGGATGCCTCCAACAAACAGCTCGTCCTGGTTGATCGTTTAAATGGATCACACCCTCTTGAAACGCAGCGCACTTATCATGTGATGCTAACGTGCATCGCACACATCGCCAATATGACTTTTGTTTGCACAAGAAGCATGCCTTTTCAAAATATAGATGTCACATACATGAGCAACAATGCAAGTAATAATTTAAGACTAATAATACATCAGTATCTGTACAAGAACATTACTTCTTAATTTTAAAACAAAAAATTATGTTTTGATAATCTATAAATATTGAAATATCACAACCAAGAGGAAAAAATATATAGCAAACAGAATATAATCCAGACCGGGCGACCTATATTTGAAAAATGCCAGGTCCAAAAAACAAAACCAAAAAACAGATATGAAACAAGATATTCAGAATTAGTAGATAAAGCACAAGTGTATTTTTGTGAAATTCATCTTGCTTTAGATCCTTATACACTAGTAACTTATTTTGGCTATCACAAACATAAGTTAAGCTCACTAAAATTTTAAAAGAAACACTAGTTTTCTGTAAATAAGCATTAGTAAAATTCATTAAGGGTGTTCAATTCTTGCTATTCCATTGATCAATCTAAAGCAAACAACTTTACCTGTTTGACAACCTATGCAAGTAGAGAGTATATTGTACATCAAAGCACAAAAAAGCCCAAAAATACCATCACAGTACAAAATAACAGCAAACTTTTATTTTTTCATTTCTTTATTGAAAAACCAAACATGCAATTTATCTGTACACAAACCATGCATACTAACACAATTCAAAGATTAGATAGTGAACCTAAAAGTAGAATCAAAGATAAGATCATAATGGAGAGAATCATACATGCTGAGGACACTTGAATTTCTTCAAAGAAGAGAAGCAAAGCTTTTCTTTCGCACATGTTGAGTGGAATACACCTTTGCAACCACGAACAGAGCATAACACCTCCTCCCCAGGATAGACTAAGTTCTGGCAAACTCTGCACTCAACCTGCAATAAATTATGAAAATATTTGACAACACTATTTTATTGGTTCAAAATGAAACATAAAATAATGGAAGTTGCCAATTGCCACCAATGCATCAAACAAAACAGTAACTTCTACTATTTTGTTGTACTAATATCAAAAAGAAAATCAACATAAATGTTGGAAACACTTAAGGCCATGTTTAAGATATGTTCAATTGAATTATTCAGAATTCTTTGGTCTACAATTATTATCATAAAAATGGGTAATAATTAATAATCTGATGCCAAGTTCTTTTCGCAAAGCAAAGAAAGTTAGGGTTCGTTTGGTTTGTATTTCTGAAAAAATTTTGGAAAATTTTATCTACAAATAAGTTTTTAAAAGTAATCAAACCAAACAAATTTTTCCAAAAAAATTTCTCAAAACTTGTAAACCAAACAAGTTTTCCAAACTATCAAAAAGAAAATCAACATAAATGTTGGAAACACTTAAGGCCATGTTTAAGATATGTTCAATTGAATTATTCAGAATTCTTTGGTCTACAATTATTATCATAAAAATGGGTAATAATTAATAATCTGATGCCAAGTTCTTTTTGCAAAGCAAAGAAAGTTAGCCTTTAGTTTTTATTTTATGAATTCCTAGCTCCAAGTGTAAATATCTAATATCTTATAATGATAAATGGCAAAAAAATTGATTATAATTCAACTAGTTCATTACTTAAGTGATTATGAAACATCAGTTTCATTTTCCTAACAAACAGTATTTTTCAAACCAAAAATGATTTAATCAGTTTTAGTGATAAAATTAGCCTTGACATTTGGATACACCAAAGAGAAGAAAACAATTGAAGAGATTATACTTGTATTGTTGTATAATTGCTATGACATGAGTATAATGCCTTTTTGACACTACATGTTAGTATGTTACATATAACACCATTTTATCCCACATAATAGATTAAAAATATAAAAATATGACCCCTCTTTGTCGAGTCCGCATATCTTTAAATTTGAGATTTGATAGATCCGACCTCTACATATGCACCCATACCTGAGTCCGTGTAACATAGTTCAAAACTACTCTCATCTCATGCCATAGATTTTCCATCTCACAGAATTTAAACTACTAAATGCATTTGAAAGTAACAGTACATGACAAAGTACAAGCATTCATCTCTTCCCATATCAGCATGAATTATCTCACCAAGACAGCATTCAAATTAATAGTTAGCTGGAAGCAGAATTCTAGATTCCATAAATTTGCCAAAGATTACCGCTACATCTACTTCAACTAATAATTGCCTGGTGCAATGGCAAGAGTTCATGCTATCGAGCATGAAACACAAATTTGATTAAAAAAGCAGCCACTTTCTACTGATACTGCTAAGGTTAGGTTTGTCTCTAGTCTAGCGGCTAGCCTGCAAGCAATGGTGAGATAAGCAGTGGGGCAACACCCTTTTCATTAATTTCATGTTGTATTGTTGCAATCGACCCCGTTGTATGGTATGATTGAGCTGAAGAGTGAGCCCTTGTACAGGTTGGGGCACTACCGCAGCTCACTCCACTTTTGTTGTGAACACATAACTAAAACAATGTTTAAAGTAGAGAAGCCCAAACTTTATTAATGCTATATGGGCAGCAACATGCTACAAACTTAAACTCCAACAGGCTGATTCCGCTTTAAACGTTACCAGCATTATAGTCCAAAACCTTAGTAGGAAGGAAACCCATTAAATGTTTAAACTGTTAAAGTGAAACAAGACGTTGAACCATTCAGAAACTATAAACTATGAAGTAACCTTATTCTGTTGACGTTTGTCCAATATATTAGTTAGTGGCTATGCCATTTCAAATGGCACTATATCCTAGTAGATTGATTCATAAATTAAATGGTGATATCAAGCTTCCTAACAGAAATTTGCAACTTGTTATTTGTAAAATGTAAGAGGCAAAGTATCATTAGGCTACAGCATTGTAACTTTTAAACTTAACAACATATATGTCAACTACTAGCCTAGTTAACCAGCTTTGTTTTTTACAAGATCTAAGGTTCATTACAGACAACACATAAAAGAAGTTTAAAAAGGATCCACTAGAAGACTCATATCATTGGAAATTTAAACCATTGGCCAATAAATGCAAACTTTTACAAAAAGTATATCTGGTTCTTTAAAAATAATATATTTATCTTGCTCTGCCACTTCACATTCATTTACAGTTTAAAACTCCAATAACAAATTGCACTAGGACTTCCTATTCAGTGTAAAAATATTTCTCCCTTCATGTTTCAACCTCTCACATCTATACTATATACGGAAAATTTCACTTTACCTCCTTATGGTTTGGCCTACGTGTGGATCCCTATCATTTGGAAATAACCACATAAGCCCCATATGATTTGTGGATTAAAATGCACCGTTAGCTTTTCCATCTAAACTAACAATGTGTGACAGTCATGCATCTATGTGGAGAGTAAGCTTATTTTAAGATGAAAACACCCCTTATACATCTTCAAATGCCATTCTTTTTTCCCTCTCTAATGTTTTTCACTCTATTCCTCCCCAGTCATCAGCACCTCCTATGCTTGTCAGAAAACACCAATACCCTGTTAATCTGGGACAATAACCTCCAAATGGGGGATCAATGATTCATCTGCATAAAACAAAAGCTAATACTCAAACGATATGCAAGAAGTTTAGGCAATGCAAATCCCATATCTCATATCACACTAAGCAAAGCCTATAACACTAAAACCAGGTTGTAGAAAAAAAAAAGAAGTCTAGGCAATGCAAATCCCACATCTCATATTACACTATAAGCAAAACCTTTAACACTAAAACCAGGTTGTAGAAAAAAAAAAAATAAGTTTCCAACTTGTAAAATGAACTCAAATCTTGAAATTACAAGCTTGCCTTTGGTCGTCTACTTCCATTGCACAACCCCCCCCCCCCAATTTATGTGATCATCCCACCACTCCCTTTTGTTTTTTTGTTGTTATAAAAGTGATTTTGATTTAATTACAATAATAATTAGACATATATATAAATATAATGGCATTAAAATGAGTGTTGAACAGATTATAATTATTCACTTATTCTCATGTATATATCCATATACAGCTATTGTTATCATGATTCCTTTAGTGTAGATTGGTTAAAATGGGTGTTGAACAGAGGTTCTAAATCAAATACATATGCATATTGTGGTTGGTGCAAATTTGTGATCAAATCACTGAGTTTTCATGATTGGGTGATGGTCACTGGGGTAGGAATGGACTGCGGGGTGGAAGTTGGCAGCCATAGGAGAAAAATGGAGAGAATATATGGCAGCCATGGAAGGAAAGTGGAGAATATATATATATATATAGAGAGAGAGAGAGAGAGAGAGATTTATTAAGAAAAGAGGAAGAAGAAGAGAGTATAAAAGTCAATTCACAAGTTTTGTTAACAGAAGTTGGGGTGTGTTTTAGTCTACAAATCACATTGGCCAAATTTAGGCACAAGTACAAATCACATTGGGGTGCGTTATATAGTTATTTCCAAATAACAAGGAGGTGATCCGCACATTGGCCAAACCACAAGGGTATAAAGTGAAATTTGCTGTACTATATATAAAGGGCACACCTCTGTTGGTGTCCTGAGGCCCTTGCCCTTTGCCAAATAGATTTTTGTATATCCCAAAATTACTGAAAATACCCTCACCTAATTGAGTCCTGTAACTGAGTTAGTTACCCCCTGAAACTCATCAAATTCATATTCAGATTCAAATCAAAATTTGAACACCACACCACTAAATTAAATGAAGTCAGGTTAAAGTCACAAATAACAAACAAAACAATATTAAAAATAAACAAAAATAGCAGCACAACCCATAAGAGATAACTGGAAATTCATTACAAAGGACACACACAAAAAAAAGAAAAAAATCATCAACATGGAAGCTACAAAGACAAGAATTTACCAGTCTTGGCGAACCAGCAAGGAAGGGAAGGAAGCATTTCGGCTCAGGAACTCCAGACTCAATCTTCATTGCTGCCCAGGCCTTCACATAAGCGTCCAAACTCTTCATTCCCGATGACTTCTTGCTTCGCTCTGCCGACCCCCGAGTCCGAGACCGAGTCCGAGTCCGCCTAAAAACACTAATCCGACTGCCATTACAAATTTTCCCCTTGTGCACGATCGGGAATCGCAAACTCTGGTCCAGATCGCAACACCAACTGTCGCCGTCTCTGCCTAGGGTTTGCACCGGAATGGGGTACGTAGTAGAACCACCCGAATCGCATTGATCGGAAGCAGGTTTAAGGTTTGCGCAGGGGCAGCGAGAGATTGACAGCAACGACGTGTTCAAGATATTGCCCAAGTCAGGCATGGTCGCTTCAAAAACCCTAAAAGCCCTTGTGTCGTTACGGCAAATTTAGGCTTGGAATATATATATATATATATGCAAATTTATATATTCAACTGCAGCTGGAGAAACTGAAAGTAGACAGATAGTAGAGAAAGTAGAAAGAGACTCTAACATGGGCGTTGTACACAGAGAGAGAGAGAGAGAGAGAGAAGGGGGGAGATCTGAGTGTGAAGCAGGCAGGGCAGCGGGTTTTTGGAGATAGATCTGAATAAGGGTGGGTGCTTGGGCGGGAAAGCTGAAATTTGTAGTTGCAGAGATCTGGCGTGAAATTACTGAACCAAATACCGGATATAGGCTCATTTTTTAGCCTACTATCCTCTCCCATAAAAAAAAAATAATAATAATAATAATCACTATGTTTGGTTATCCTTTTGTAAAAGAAAAATAATTTGTCCTCTAAAATTCTTCCTCCCGAATCCCCCTAATGGCCAAAACAATATCGTTTTGGCCATTTTCTTTTCTTTTTTTTTTTTCCTTCTTCCATTTTCGACCTGCAACGCAGAAGAGGGAGAGGGAGAGAAAGAGAAAGAGAGAAGAAAGAGGGGAAGACAGAAGAGAGAAGAAGAGAGGGAAGAGATCATCGCCCAGCCCGTCGCCGCAGATCGCCCAGCCCGTCGCCCAGGTCCGATCGTCGCCGAGCAGCAGCTCCGCCGTCGCCGCAGCAGCTCCGCCGTCGCCTCCGGCCCGCCTCCGCCTCCTCCCACTGTTATGGCCCCTCCAGTCCACTCCTCCTCCTCCTCCTCCTCCTCCTCCTCCTCCTTTCCCTTCCTCCTCCTCTCCTTCCTTCTCTTCTCCTTCTCTGCTCCGAAAATAAAATAGAAATTAGGGGATTCGGGGGAGCTCGTTTTCGAGCTCCCTAGCACGGTCCTTTTTAAAAATTCTTTTCAGAAAATTTTACTTTTTTATTTTTCGTGTTTTTTTATTTTTACTGAATTTTTTTATATTTTAAACAATTTTTTAAATTTTTAGACATACCTAACATAAATATACTTAAAAAGTAAAAAAAAAAAACTTTTAAAAAATAACCTTTTAAAAATCACTAAATACCAAAAAATACAAAAAAAAATAAGGAATTAAGTACATTTTTTATATTTTTATGTATTTATTAATTTTTAAAATATTTTTTCACAAATTTTTTATTTTTTAGATACATTTAAGTAAGGTGCATCTAAAAAAAATTTAAAATTTAAATTTTAAAAATATCACTAAAAACAAAAAAAAAAAAACACGAAAATTTAAAAACTCAATTTTAAAAAACTTAATTTAAAAAAACTCAAACAAATACACTGAAAATAATAATTTTAATTATCTTTTTTAAACACTCTATACTATAGCAAGTTACGAAACTACCAGCAAAATTGGGTGAGTCTTGAAAGTTATGTTGGGTTTGATTTTGTTTTAGAATTATTAATTTGAGGGGAGAGTTGTGTTTGAATTATGAGTTTAATTTTAAAAAAGTTAAAAATATATTTCTTATGTTTGTTTGGTTTTTGGAAAGTAGTTTAAAAATTGTTTTTGAGGAAAGAGTTTAGAATTTTTTTAGTTTGTTTGGTTGTGTATTTGAAAGTAATTTTGGAGTTTGGGAGTTTAGAATGATTTATATTTTTATATACTTGAGTAGATATGTATGGAAGAAAAAAATGATTGAGAAGGAAAGAGGAGAGAGAAAAAGTGATTGATTAATAGGTAAGAAGAGAAAGTGATTTTGAAAATTGTTTTGAAAAATTTACAAACCAAACAAATTTTTTAGAAATTTTTTCCCAAATCACTCTACAAAATTCAAAACCAACCATACCCAAGTTTTGAAAATAGTTTTGAATAATTTGTAATTTTTTTTATTGATTGATGTATAGAATGTGAAAAAAGATAAGAGATGATAGATGAGAGACAAAAAGTGATTGATTGATTGATTAAAAATAATAGAAAAAAGAAGAGAGAAGAGTTTTGAAAATAATTTTAAGTTGTATTTTAAAAACATGTTTAGGGATGGTTTGGAAAATGGGTTGGTTTTTGGCTTTTTTGGCTATTTTAGCCTGGGCTAAAAAGCTTGGTTTGGGAAGAATTTTTGGCTTTTTTGACTTTTTTTGTGAGAGAAGAGTGTAATGATTATGGTTGGATGTGATGTTTTGTTTTTGTGGCTAAAATAGCCTATTTTTGTTTTTTGTGGCTAAAATAGCCACAAAAAGCCTCAACAACGGCTTCCCAAACGAAGTCTTAGTTAATATGTTTTATTCAAATCATGATTTAAAACAAATTCAATATTTTAAAAAGTAAACCAAAAACGCTACTTATGATTTTAAAAGGGAGTAGCTTGCCTTCAATCCTAATCGGACTGGAGAGTGTTGTTGGGTCTGTAAGGGCCAACTATAGGTCTCATTTTAATAATACTGAATTGTTAATACGTAGAACTCGTCGAGTACTTATGATTATAAAAAAATCACGTTAATCAGATATCGATATATAGCTATCTCATCGAATCAATTTTGTGTCAACCGTTAATTTGTTCATCATTTTATTTTTTTATACTGTAAACTATAAACAACAGAATATGCAACGGATAAAATAATCAGATCATACCTTCTTGATGATAGAACCTTCTTGAGATAAATCACGTGCTTCCAGGAACTTCTTGATGAACCAACCCAGCAGTGAAGTGATATCACAGATTGAATATCACCCACACAAACCACAGTGTCAAAGACTTGATCGTTGTGTTTTTGGGAGAGAGTCAGTATATGGGTAGAAAACAAAGACTATACGTTTTTCTCACTTGGATTACCCAAACCATATAATCAGATATATAATATATTTAATATCTATCCATATCAATTAAAACTGATAACATCTGTATCTTGAGTGGTTATCCTAAATAGGTTTGAATTCAAATTCAAAACCTATTTGGATAAGGATCAAATTAAATTTTAAATGGTCATGCCACATGGGCGCCCATTACCAACACTCTCTCATCGCACATGAGTTGCCATGACACTGCCACATCTCTATCTCAATCTCCCCAAAAAGAACAATCTCATACTAGCCAATGCACCGTGCGACCGCTGAGAACACCTGCAAGTGGGAGCTCTATACTAGAAACTCAATATGAGTCAGCATAGAGACATCAACCCAAAAAGAACAGAAATAGTGTCTCATGTACCCAGACCCATCTAGCTACATCAGTCCAAAAAACATCTCTAATCCCTCAAAGAGCATGTTTGACTCTCCTAGGTCCCGCATTATATTCACACCCAATCAGCATCCTATAAAGAGCGATGTGAGTTGTCGACAGTGAATATAGAGCAGAGAGTAGTAGAACTAGATGATCTTCCCTTCACCACTCATATCATTCAATTTGAAATTGACCGCTTTCCCAGTAATGTCCCTTAAGCCGAATCATACATGACCGCAGGCAACATAACCAAAGTAGCTGAACATCAACTCCTCATCTTATGACATAGTCAAAGGTCACAAAGGCACAAAGTGAAGTCATTTAGGAAAAAATGACTTTTAGGACTCACCACACGGTGAAGAAGCAGGATCCATTCTTTCACCTCGCTAACGGGTCGATAAGCACATGCAGTATGAATGCATGTTATAGTGGAGTTACTCTTCCAAAGAGTGATGTTAAACTCACACACCATACAGATCTTAGTTCTAGTCGCTCTTAAGCGCACGAGTCGCTTCCTAGCGTCTAACTCGAATTCTCTATATTGCTCGCCTCTCAGCATCAAATGAGATCTCGCATCTGGCTATCCATAACAGACATATCATGGAAAGTGGGTACTCTCAATCCATGGTCGGTCTCTAACAAGACCTCATCTTGGCTCCAACCAAGGCGACATAGCTAGTGGATAATTTTAGCTTATAGTCTCATCCTTACTCGCTACCAGCGCTCAAGGGCGATTGCTCGTGTGAGTGAGCCAATCTTGCCTGAACATCAATTAATTTATTTTGTGTATATAATTCACAACCATTACTAAAAAGTAGTAAACATAAATGTGTGATGGAAACAAGTATGAATACTAATGGCATAATATCCCAAAAAAATGAGTTCACTGAATACACATAAAAAATATCACCACCTACATAGTCTAAAGCCTAACATGGAGTAAGATAAACATCTCTAGCAATGGGCTTAGTCAAAGGGTCCGCAACCATGCGACTCGTAGAGATGTGCTCCAGGATCACTTCTTTCTGCGCCAAAATATCTCTGATAAAGTTGACCTCACATCAATGTGTTGGTTCTGCCATGGTATTTAGGATCCTTAGCGTAAGCGAGAGTGCAGCCATGTTGTCACAATGGATAGTCACAGGGTCTGAAGTGTGTGTGACAACATCCAAAGGTTGAAGGAATCTCCTCAACACACGGCTTCCTGAACGGCAGATGAACAAGCCACAAACTCAGCCTCCATGTCGATAAGGCGGATGCAGGATTGCTTCTTACTGCTCCAAGAAATAGCACCATCGCTAAGCATGAAAGCATATCCTGAAGTAAACTTACGCTCATCTTAGGTCTCCTCCCAGTCAGCATCAACAATAGCCAACTAGATGTAGATCTGAACTCTGGTAGCAAAGTGTGTAATCTGAAGTTCCTCTAAGATATCGTAATATCCTCTTAACTGCTTTCAATGAGCTGGTCCTGGGTTGGATTGGTAACGACTCACCAATCCGACTGCAATAACAAATGTCAGGACGTGTACACATCATAGCATAATCAAGCTTCCAACAAGCATTTTGCATACGGAACACGGGCCATCTTTTCATTTTCTTCTTGAGTCTTAAGACCCATATCAAGGCTTAGGCTCTCGCCTTTTGCAACAGGGAGTGTCAATGGGTTTGCAGCTCTGCATCTGGGAACCGCTCTAGAATAGTCTTAATGTAAGTCTTCTTGAGAAAACAAGAGTCTCTCTAGAGCGATCCCTAAGGATCTTAACACCGAGCACATAGCTCGCCTCACCCATGTCCTTCATTTCAAATGTAGAGAACAACCACATTTTAGTGGCGACAAATCATCTCCTTGTCATTTCCAGCCAATAATATGTCATCTACATATAATGACAATATCAGAAAAATGTCCTTGGACCGCTTAACGTACCACAGTGATCTTCATCAATCATCGTAAACCCATTTGAAATAATGGCTCGATGAAATCTCAGATTCCACTGTCTGGATGATTGCTTT